GAATTCTTGCCTTATTGGTGTTCATAGTTTTTAAGTTTCTGGAAATTCTATTCTCTTGTTTCTTTCATTCACACGATATATGATGATCTTCAGGTGATGTGCTTTTTTTTCTTCTGTTTGGGGGGAGGTGGGGTCAAAGTTGTGAATAATTTGTAAGAGTGGCAAATATACATATTGAGTTCTTTACTTGTAATAAATTTTTAATTGTTGAGAAAATTAGTAGTGAAATGCCTCTATACAATTCTTTTGCTTGCAAACAGTATAATTATTATCATTGTTACTTTTGTGCTTATGAAAGCACTAATAAAACTCTGTATATTATCCTCTCCATCGGGTACTCTGAACTCTAGTTTGAATGATATAACACACACAGAGTGTCTTTGTATATGGAAAGTCTTTGTTTTGCAACTGTGTTATCGAATTTCACTTTCAAAGAAATTCATGGTAACTTTTCAGGTGTTGCCTTTGCATTGCGCATGAGTATAATATGTAACAAGTTGTGGCTAATTTGTGTGTTTGTCTTAAATTCTTTTATGGTATGGGATTGAACTAATTCTGCCTTCTGATTCTGGAGTTGATCTTCATAATGTCATAAAATTTTATGGTTTTCCCCTACACGGTTGTCCCCTACAATCATGGATTGTCATTTTCAAACTTTTTTGTGAGCTATAGCCTATTGTGATTTTAATGGGCTGCTGTTTCCATCCTTATGATTTGTGTTTTCATATTTTGGCATTCTAGGCTCCTCACATATGACATGGAAGGAGAGGAAAGAATTGGAGAACAGGAAGGTAGTCTCTCTTGGTGGAAAGGTGAGAACTTTTGTATGCAGAAGGAAAAAGTTGATGCTGACTGCATGGCAAGTATTTCATGGTTAAAACTTCTTGAATATTGATATATGGTTTGCTTGCATACAGTCACCAAAGAAGCAGAGATTGCCATTAAGTGTAGCAAGAGTCGTTATGAAGAAACAGAAGGAAAGAGAACAGAAAATATCGGAGGAGGTAATTGATTTCCATTGCCTACTTATCATAAATTTGTTATGAGGGTTATGACACCAAGGCCCTCTTATTAACGTCCTTGCTTTCAGGATTTGATTCTTGGACAATTTCGAAGAAAGCTCAGCAGCAGTGCTGGAAGGTCAGTGGAAAAGCAAAGGCCAGAGGACAGGGTTCTGAAGACCACCGAAGGTCATTTTAGGAATGGTGTGCTAGATGTGAAGCATATGTTGCATCAAGCCTCTTTGAGAGACGATGATTCTGGCAGTCGGTTTATCAATAAAGGGAAAAGGAACAAGGGAAGTCAGAAAAAGAAACAGGTAAAGAAGAAAGGCAGAGGTAGGAAACGACACTGAATGCACTCATCGGTAGGCATAGGCATATCTACATGATTGAGCAATTCATATGGTTTTCGTTTCTCTCCTGCAATATATCAGTTTTGGAGGTCACACTATGCTATGTAGTTCTTGTTGGGGGTTTGACACATCATGTAAGATGTAAGAATAGCATAGGAACTAATTCCTTAGCAAACGCTAAAGCTCCCCCGTTTGTATTTCTTAAAGCTGGGCACAAGCGCAGCCAATTTTCAGGCATTTTGGCAAATCTGCATGTTGTTTGCATAAATCTTTAATTTTGTTGTTTTTTTTTTTTTTTTTCCTTTTTCTAATCATCAAATCTTGGTTGTTATATATTAGGCTAAAATAACTAGTCTATTAATTAACTATTGATATTTTATTACTTTAGTATAAAAAATTTATTATTATTATTTTCAAAATAGTATAATGATTCATTTGCTTATCGCTTACCAAACACTTTTTCATTTGTTTAATTAACCGAAAATTACGCTAGCACTTACGTAACAATATAGACAAATATGTATGAAGTATTGACTGTGTTGTTATTAGAGTTTTTATTTTTACAGTTTGAACTAGATTGAATTATAAAATAAAAATTAATATTGGATACAGGAAAAACTCTCAATATCAAAAGATTTGTTTTTATCCAATGGTTAAAATTGCATAGTTTAAAGTAATATAAACTGAACAATACTTTTTTGGTTTTATTATTATTACTAAACACCTTTTCATTTGTTTAATTAACCGAAAATTACGCTAGCACTTACGTAACAATATAGACAAATATGTATGAAGTATTGTTATTGGAGTTTTTTTTTATACGGTTTGAATTATATTGAATTGTAAAATGAAAATTAATATTGGTTACAGGAAAACTCTCAATATCAAAAGATTTGTTTTTATTTAATGGTTAAAATTGTATAGTTTAAAGTAATATAAACTAAACAATACTTTTTTGTTTTTATTATTATTATTTATCTTGTTCAACACCATGCAATTGAAGAACAGCGAGAAGGCTAGTAGCAGTGGCATAAACAAGAGGGAGTAAAAAGGGGCAAAGTGTAAAATCGAAAAGTTTTCCTCATCAACACATTATTATTTGATTATAGATTTTCCATGTTGTTACCCCGAATTTTATACTCCCTTAATGACCACCATATTCAGCATCCAAGACACACTCGTCCCAGAGTACCTTACCCTCGGCAACAAAATAAGCTGCTAACAATCTATATTTATTAAATGAGGCAAGCAACTGAACTAATCCATTGTGACATCTTTGTCCTGCCGACACTAATTTGCGACAACATTCCGTTGGGACCCTCTTCTTGTCGTCGGTAAATACATAGGTGACAATAGGTTTTGCGCACTCGTTTGTTATTTTCCTTGCACATTCTTCCAAGTATTCCCTCTCCTCAGGCGAGGGCTCCGGTGGATTATAGGGACTTCCATCCTCGATTTGTGAATCGGGGGCAATGGCTTCGACTACCACCTTATTAGCCAAAGAAAAGATCACGAGAAGAAGGATGGCCACTTTGAATGTTGCCATTTTTTTTCTTAATCTTCCTTTGGCTAGCTTAAAGATGGTTTTTCCTCGGAGCGGATTGGAATGTAGGTGTAGAATGTACATTTATAGGAACATTGAAGAGGTTGTGTGATGTTTTGGGGACATTAGATGAAGTTTTTATTTTATTTTATTGTAACGACATGAGTTTCTCGTCACACTACCATAAACGTAAAGCATCAACGTACTGGTTTTATTAATTATAATTATGATGTTGTTTATGAAGGAAATTACTTAATTAAACAAGCGTTAGAAGTTTAGTGGAAAATGGAATTTACACTTGGCCTTTATGAAAGTATATCCATATGGATTTATTTATTGGTTTTTGGGGAGATTAATGAATGTGCGTTAGTTATGTGTGGTGGAGAGTAATGTTTATTCTCTGTCAAATCACAAAAATAACGTCGATATCATTAAATATCCAGCACGTACAGGACTTTGTTTTTACTTTGAAAGGTATGGATGTTATTTATTTATTTTTTTT